TACCGTCTGCCCAGTTTTTCTGTTAATCTAAACTGTTTTTAAAAATAAATGCTATTAATGAAAAAAAATGAAGGCGTTGACCATAAGTGCTAACACTGAGTACTCGGTGGGGACCAGGCACTCACTGAACTTCCCTCCAGCACAGACTCGTCACTGGCACATCATAACAAGTATTGGTGCCCTGAACGGTTTGGCTCAGCAGATAGAGCGTCGGCCTGCGGACTGAAGGGTCCCGGGTTCGATTCCGGTCAAGGGCATGTACCTGGGTTGCGGGCACATCCCCAGTAGGAGGTGTGCAGGAGGCAGCTGATCGATGTTTCTCTCCCATCGTTGTTTCTAACTCTCTATCCCTCTCCCTTCCTCTCTGCAAAAAAAAAAAAAAAAAATCAATAAAATATAATTTAAACTGGCCATAAGTCCTTACTCATCATCTTTGCTTCTTTGTTGTTGTGTTTTGATCCTCACCCGAGGATATTTTTATCCAATGATTTTTTAGAGAGTGGAAAGGAGAGGGAGAGACAGAAACACGGATGTGAAAGAGACACATCGATGGGTTGCCTCCTGCATGCCCCCCGACCAGGGCCCGGGCCGGGGAGGATCCTGCAACCGAGGTCCGTGCCCTTGATCGGAATCGAACCCGGGACCCTTTGGTCCGCAGGCCGGCGCTCTACCCACTGAGCCGCACCAGCTAGGGCTTGTTTTTTTAATAACACAAAGGAAAGAGAATGAAGGAGCAGGCACTGACCGGTTTGGCTCAGTGGATAGAGCATCGGCCTACGGACTCAAGGAGCAGGCAGCACACACACCATAGAAAGGGTCCGAAGTCCAGGAGAGGCACAACCTCTGTGATGAAGGCGGGGGCCCTGGCTGGGACGGGCCGTCAGGAGCAGTAACTACAGGTGCCACCTATGGAGGCCTGCCCTGGTGCAAAGGACACTGCAGAGCGTGGCTGTCCGCCATCACGTCTTACACGACAGCGATTTTGCTCTGATATTTCATTTCAGGGGCCACTCGATCTATGTCAGGCTCATTTCTTCCCCGAGCGGCGGGACAGGGAAACAGAACTGTCCTCAGGGCCAAAGGCAAAGGGCCACGCAGATGAACCACTCGGCCCCAGGCAGGCAGCCTCCGGGGAAACTCCTAACCCACCTCATCTCGGGGAGAACCCTCCACCGCAGCGGTTCTCAACCCGTGGGTCGCGACCCCTTTGGTGGTCGAACGACCCTTTCACAGGGGTCGCCTAAGACCATCCTGCATATCAGATATTTACGTGACGATTCATCACAGTAGCAACATGACAGTTATGAAGTAGCAACGAAAATAATTGTATGGTTGGGTCCCAACATGGGGAACTGTACTTAAAGGGCCAGGAGGTTGAGAACCGCTGCTCTACCGGGTTTTCCTGCTCGGCCAGGTGTCGGCCACATGGCTCCCATCCTCCTACTCCCAATACTTGCCCGCCCCCTCCTTTAAGATCTAGGAACCCATCCACAGTGAGGAGGCCACCTTACTACCCACTCTAAGTCCAGTTCGGACTTTGATCATCGAAACCAGGGCTTCCCAGAAGTCAAGCATGTCATGACCTGCCTGTGGCTCTGAGTCAGCATCGGGCTGGGCCACCCGCCCCCCTAAAGCAGAAGCCCCGTGGCCCTTGGCCGGGGACTCGGGGCCCCACGCCCTGGGACATGCAGTTCCGTTTGTGAAGAGCCCGTGTTCTGAGCAGGAACCGCACAGGGCAAGGCTCCTTCCTCTGGCAGAAACGGAACTAGACGCGAGGGTCCTGGGAGGGACCATCTGGGACAGGTCACAGGCCGAACCGGCCAGGCGCCGCGGGAAGGAACCAGGGCGGCCTGCCTGGAGGAAGAGGCGGCTCCGGACCTCGGG